TGCCGCTTGTGAGCAGCAAACCTAGCTAAAAGAATTTGGATCTAAGCAGCGATTCAGTTTTAGTTCAGTTTGTACAACCATTAACCAAACACTATCGTGTGCGGATTTTGGTTGCTGTCTTTTGGCTATCCATTTGGGTGAACAGTATTAGAAAGACAGGAAATACTGATAGTAGGATCAAAGAGAAAATTCAGAATTTCAGTGGAAATTTTCGGGAGATAAATTGACAAGATGCAGGAACGCCACTGTTTACGACACCCAATGCATCCCACAGAGAACGTTGCTTGCGGATCTGAGCCTCAAGCCCATTCGAAGTATCTCGTGAATCAGTATCCCTAGTGGAGCGAAAACGGAAAATCACGACCTGTCAGGATCCAAACGGGGTTAAGTGGCATCTATATATTTAACACCAGCTTGTAGACGAGCAAAGTGCCAGCAGTCTTCAGTTTTAGTTTAAGCAACCATTAAGCATGCATTTCCGTGCGATGCTCTTGGTTACTGTCTTTTGGCGGCCCATTTGGGTAAACACTAGCAGGAGAACAGGAAGGTTGAATGTAGGATCGAAATTGAAATGTTCAATGGATTAATGATGCAGATAAATTGACAAGATGCAGGAACGCCACTGTTTACGACACCCAGCCATATCACTCACTGTCTCTAACCATCGGTTACGACCATCCCGAGGTCCCCAACCAGGGAGCCCAACGAGACCTATGTGACCCAGACTCCTGGTTAGGGTTTTCACACCCTCATGCCAGGTCTTGGATTGACCACCCTGGGCTTTATTCCACCCAGTAATTGCCTCGGCGAACATCGCTCGCCGTGGCAACCTATTTGGTGACAGCCGTGACACATGTCCCAGCCAACGTAATCTATGGAGGTCGAACATTGACCGCAGTGGGCGACAGCAGTTACCTAAATCTTTACACCTAATTTCAGCATTGCTTTTCCGGCTGCCATGCAGCAATTAACGATTTTGACTATTGACTTTATGGTAAACCGAAAATAGGACAAAGAAGATTCACTTAATGAAGTCAGAAACCCAGAAGAGAGTGCGGATGCTACCAGTTCATAAATAAGAACAGGAAAGATTGATCACCGGACTTTATGATAGGAATATATATATACATATATATTATACACGTAACCAAATACAGAGAACTGGCAAATGTGCCATAACATGTGAACAAAAAGAAGTTTGAAGAATTTTTCGTCGGTTGTGTGGGCATGTTATTTTCCGGTTACCCTGGCCGAGGAAGGGGGTTAGCCTCGGGGTCTGCACCCGAAGTCTTTGGGTAGAAAGCCAGACCTGCAAGACAACAGGACGGAGCTCACAGACCGCAACCCATTGGGGGCCGGTGTCCAGTTCACTGGATCATACGCACTTTAGACGGGGTCAAACGTAAAAGGTGCCCAATACACCTGGATGCCCAACTGAGCTCGTGACAACTGCCGCGACCAGGAGTGCGTGTGGTTCTTACGCCTTCTCTCGGTTGGTTTGTAATCAGGGTTTTTATTCAACTCCCCTAAGTGAGCTGCCAATGGTCCACCAACCCAGTTATGGACCCGGATGTCGGCTTTTCGTCCTCGCACTTTGGTGGGAAAACACCGCCACGGCAGAGGTGTAAGGAAATGGTGACCAGTTATAATCCGACACCCACCCCGACCATACTGAGACTCGAAGTCACATATATATATATATATATATATATATACACGTGTGGTGTACAGCACAAATAGGAAGACCACCCAAAACGTAAGTATATAAAGGCGAAAACCCACCAGTGTGGAATGATCGCTTCAAGGGTGGAATGGTGTGAAACTCTATATGGTTGTGGAACTATGTTAGCAGATAGCACAACCATTAAGACACTGAAAAACGACGCTTTCCTTGGCTACTGATATTCTAACACCAAGTGAAACCCTTACAACGCTGTGAAACCGCCATGTGGTAAGAACCAGTAAGATGGATGACCAATTAACGTAAATTGGGATGTTTATGGACAAAAGGCGTTTAACAACTGTCTTGGGGTATGACTTCGCAAGAATATCCTTTGAGAAAATAACCGGGAGTAAAAGATGAATATTACATGCATGATTTATTCAGAAAATTGGGATCTTAGAAGGCGGCTGGAAGGCGCAGCTTACCAATTTACAAGGCCGCATGAGTTGACATTCATTTATCACAATGATGTTTGAGATTGTTACACGGCTGAGTACAGTAGGTACAAATGAGAACAGTCTCTGAATCAATCAGTGAGGTCATTGGCGACCCCGCGAGAATGACGGCGGACAACCACAGCTGTCGGGTGCACTCAATCCAAATACTGAGCCAACCAATTGAAAGCTTCACCATATCCTTGACGTTTTTTGATACTGCACATGAAGAGTTCAATTGGTCTACCAGATATCAACTGATCCCTTCGAACATTTCCACGACCAGTCGTTACACCTTGCAATCCCAAATAGTAACGCAGTTCATCCTCGCTCGCCGCCCCGGCTTTGTCAATCTTGTTGCCCAGAATGAGAATCGGAGCGTGAGCAATCTGCTCATCTTGAAGGAGGTTATCCAACTCACGTTTGGATTCCAAAAACCTTCACAGTCTATTAAACATTGACGATTGAGAGACTTACCTGTCGCGGTCACAAGCGTCCACCAAAAAGACCAAACCATCAACAGCGGCAATGTAATTCTTCCATACTCGCCTAACTTGTTCATGACCGCCTAAATCAAAAGTAGTGAAACGCATTCCTCCGATCGAAAGTTCTTCTGATGTTGCATGCAATGTAGGAACATGTTGAGCCATTCGATCTTCTTTTAGTCGATGCAAAAGAGTGGTCTTTCCAGCATTATCAAGACCAAGAAACACCAACTTTCCATGCTTCTGCCATAAACCCAAATAGCTCAACACTTTTGAAACGGATCCAGTAACTAAATCCCACAGGTAATTCATCTTTAGTTGGTGACGTCAAAAATAACACCCGGATCCGAACACCAAAGACATAATTTGTAACGCGCGCCTTTTGGATGTCTACGTGGGTTAATCAATTCGGCGATAAAATGCATGATGATCAAAAATAACTAGATATTAAGATTTAATAAAAACCATTCCAATTAAATTGATGATCATTTCTGATAAATTTTTACGCTTAGCGTCTATTGATGATTTTCCGAAACCCACCTCAGTGGCTGAATTTTAACGTCGTTTGGACAACTTATGAGGTATCTTGTTTGTCGGGGGAGAGTAAATGTGTCACGTTACTGAAACCTGTCTCCTCCGCCCATCTTAATGCTAATGGCTCTCTGACTCCCCGCATTCACTTCATCTCTTCACTTCTCCACCAAATCATAGATTGTCATTAACTGTTTTTATCTACTATGAAACGCTTTCACAATAAAAGTCTCTCACCGACGCGACGAGAAGTAAAGTCTTTTGTCTCTCTGTTTGCAGATAGAAAAAGAAACCGTTCAATCGCAGAGGTGGGCGCACACTCCACTGAAGGAATTCTGGACGCCTGATTGGTCTGTGGCCAGTCCTTTTCAACCTGACCTGACCTGACCTGTCCTTTCAGACCTAGTATCTTCCATCCTTATTGGCTTCAAGGTTGTTGGTGTGATTCTCTCGTCGGAGGGGCCAGTGTATAACACAGCACCGCAAAAATATCCACGGAGTTGGGTGCTGTGACTTGGGGTTCTCTCGTCCCTTTACGTCGAAGCTCGCTACTTGAAAACCATGAAAAAGCCGTTGGGAATGTACCAGTATAATTTTTTCCCGTTCGAATCGCATATATCGTCTGACCTATTCCAATCGACAATAGACAGTGTAATAAAAGGACTCAACGATGTGCTGGCACGTCAAGATGACGTCCTCATGTTCGGCCTTAATAAGAACGAACACAATGTCCGACTCGCCGCCAGGAACGTGGCTATCAAGCCGTCCAAATGTGTTTTTGGTGTTGGTGAGTTTGATTTTCCAGGATTCACTGCTAATGCCCGTAGATACCGTCTCGATCCGACATGTTTTAAACCATTTGCTAACAACGAATCCCCAAAGGATCAAACGCATTTGAGATCCATGATGGCATACCGACACTACTATTCAGGATTTATCCCTATTTTTGCTGCAAGGGAGCAGACACTTTTCCGTGCTCAGTGTTCAAATGCTTGGAAATAGTCGGTGGAGTGTACAGATATCTTACGTGGTTTAGTTCGCTGCGTTACTGGTCGTCCTTTTTTGGCCTCGTTTTCACCGTCAAAACCTACTATACCAATCATCGATGAGTCCGACGTCCCAATTAGAGGTGTATTAGAAGAAGAAGGATGCCCAGTGATCTGCATTTCACGGTAGAAAAGGGATACTCACAGCCTAAAAAAGAAACGACCTGAACAGAACGACCTTGAGCGCTCGGTCCAAATGTTTGACGTGGTGAATTCTAGTCTCGAAATTACAAACTGGTGTGAGTGAATACTGCTGAAATTGCTGCAAATCGTGTAAAAGCCCGTAAGCCAGCTTAGCGAAAATATTCGGTAAGTCCTCGGGTGTTAAATTTTGAAATCAGTGATTTCATAGCGTGAGACGTTTTGCCTAGAGAAAAGAACTGCACATTGGCAGCTTCCGCCATGGCCAAATCAGATTGTTTTGGTGCTCTTAAGTGTCAGAAAATGGTCTCTAGCGGTATTCGGTGTGATTACTGCGGTTACCCGTACTACCAAAAGTGTGCTCGCATAGAACTTAACGCCTACGAAGCCTACATGAAAAACGACGCCTTACAGTGGCTCTGTTACATATGCTTAGCACTGGCGAAGGGGGCAGGTCGACAACCCGATCTAAAGGTAGGCAGTACTGGGGGAAAAATCCAGAACTCACTGGATTTGCAGTTGGATCTGAGAAAAATTGTAAAAGAGCTAGAGGGCATAGTTACCACGGTAGAGAAGGAGCTGTCGCATCTCAAGAAAGAGAACGACACTGCCATGGACAGAAACAGGAACATCCTCATTTGTAGCAATGAGGAGCCGTTAATTCGGAATGCTAAAGCCTGGGCAGACATAGAACGTAGGAAAGTCAGGGACCTCTTGAGACTCGATGGTTTACCCCCACATGCACTTATTAGGAGGGTGCAGAGGGTCGGCCGCTGGATAGACCCTGCACGCAGCCTGCAGCAGAGAAAAGATAGGCCCATCCGAGTGGAATTCGGAAATCCCGCGGTCCGGGACCAATTGCTTAGTAACTGTGAGAAAATTCAGCGAGTCACTGGGGGAGGTATCAGTGTATTGATCGATCTGTGAAAATCCTTCCTGTAAAGCCCAGTCATTCCATCTCG